AATCCTCGAAATATAGCTCAAAGCTCGTCCCTCTTGATCGCAGATGGACGAACACCTTGACTGAGGAATTCTTTGTAATACTTGCCTGATTCTTTCTCATGACGTTTGAGGTTGTCATTGAAATCAATGTAATAGAGTCCGAATCTATGCTTATAACCATTTTGCCACTCGAAGTTATCTAACAATGACCATACAAAGTATCCTGTAACATTTACTTTGTCGATGCTGCAGATTATTTGACATAAAAGTTTTTATTAGATTCTTCAATATAACTGCTACTCTTATCATATAAGAAAGAAATAAGACTTACCAAATAGCTTCATGCATAGCCAAAAGATGCCTCTGAAGATAATATTTCCTGTTATGATCAGCAGTACCAACTGCAACCGAATCTTTGTTCCCAAAATGTTCTCCATATCCTAAAAAAATGCATCACGATTGAAACAAAATGAAGGAAAAAGGAGCTAACAATAATAATAGAATCTCTAGTTACCATTTTCCATGATCATAATTTCAGGGTTGTTGTATTTATCTTTGATGTGCTTCAATAGTTTTCTAAAGCCTCTCGCGTAAACAGGCAGTGCAGCGGTGACAGGCTGAAATAGAACAAAGGTGAACGTGTGTTACGTCATAGGCAAAATATAATATTTATTTGATTTTTGTTTTTGTTTTAATTACAACATGTATTGAATCCTGATGGTGACACAATAACATTGCTATTACTCTAATTAAATGCATACCTGGCTACCAATGCTTATATCATCCACATTCTTACCTGAAAACAAGATAGATTTTGATTAATACTAAATACAAACATTTTCCTTTGATTTGTTAGCATCGGTTTTTCTTGGTTCGGTTTCAATTAAGGAGAGAATATAAACTTACCTTCCCAAGTAATAAGAGAATCTTGCTTAAACATTGGTTTACTAGGATCTGGCTTCTCCACATGGTTAGAAAACACCGAACTATAGTAGTTGATCCCTACGAAATCCGCCGAGTTTTTCAATTTTTCTTTTTGCTTCTGAGTAAATTGAGGCAATCTAGGTCCAACGATCTCTTTCATTATCGCTGGATAATCGCCTTTCATTGTAGTCTCGAGATGCCTAACAAATTCCATTATTCCATTAGATTAAATTGTATATATACAAGCACCCATCATAAATTATAAGCTACTTACCATCCCATCATAAAGTCAAGTGCACGGTCAACGGACGCACCGTCCGCTGCATCCTTAAAATCATGTGGTTCGAACCAAGCCGGACTATGTGCGATTCCGACTTTGCTACCTATACACTGTGACCATAAACATAACACAAGACAAACCATTTCATATCTAGAAGATAGTAAGAGAAGTTTTTAATTTCAATGACTTGAACACATTAATTTACCTTTTCACATTTTTTTAAAGCCTCATAGGCTTCTGCGTGAGCGTTAAGGAGATTATGACTGACGAGGTAAGCCTCGTATCCTGATCGTCCGTCTGGGCACTCCTTATCGACGTAAGAAGAGCAACGTCCTGGTGCCTTCTTGCCTACGTCATAACCGGCGTGGGCAAAAACCCATGGCTCGTTGAGAGTGACCCAATTTTTTACTTTTCCACCATATTCCTCGAAAACAAATTCAGCATACTCGCGGAAATCTTTCCTGCAATTTTCCAAAACATATTTAATGTTAGAAATCTCACATCGAACAAGTGATGTGATAATTAATACATATTGTATAATGAATTTCGTTTTACAGAAAACTTACACAATCCTTTCGCTTAAGAAGCCGCCATATTCGTCTTCTAAAGCTTGTGGAGTGTCCCAGTGAAAAACAGTCACGAATGGAATTATACCTATTTACAAATTTAAAAAAAAAAATGTTTAGAGAATAAAAGGGTCATTGGTTAATTTTTTTTTTGTTAACTAATGTCTATGTATAGATGCTTTAATATATATATAACCATTTCTTAGGAGCTCGTCGATGAGGTCGTGGTAGAATTGCACACCAGCTTGGCTCACTCCTTTCTCCTTTCTCCCATCTGATAATAACATTGTTTTGTTTCATTAATGTTTTGTAACAGTCATATACTATTATATATATCCACACCATATTTGATCAACACTAAATTAATTTTTGATTAATAAAAATATGTGTTTATCGATCCAAAGCAAATAATTAAACTCACGAGGAAATATTCTTGACCACGCGATAGACATTCTGAAGGCATCTGAGTTTAGACTCTTCATTAGTTGAATATCTTCCTACAAACATTTTCCAGAGGAGGCAATTTTCAACATCTTG